CTCAAATATTAACATACCAAATTCACTATTCACTCTAAATTAACTCATTTACTATACACTGTAAATTAATAAACAATCCCAGAAGTCGAGTACATCAAAATTTCATTAATTGTGGAATTCCAAAATCGTAATAGTTGCAAATTGTTCCAACTGACGATAATCTCTATGTTGTTACAAGTAATATTATCACTTGAAATTTCCGTTGTAGTTTATGTTGTTAGTTTTAAAAGCTGCTTCTTTGGTGGAAGGTAGAGATAAATTTTCTCCAAACCGAATGAACTTTTGTAAATAAGCATTATTTTGCAACATGTTCTTACGGAAAAGCTGTTCAAGTGTTTAAAGAGATCTTCTCAAATGTTTGCGAACTTAACAAAATACTTGGTAACCTAATTTCAAGAAACTGGGCTCGAAGTGACCGTACGTCTTTTCTGAGATTGAACAAAATGGACCAGGAATAAAATATCCCAATCATCAACAGAGAAAATAGAAAAAGGTGACATCGAAATAACATTTATGCCTTGCGAAGTGATGCTAAGTCATAAAATTTCGTTCTGCTTGGCAACATTTCATCTCACCCCTGCACCAATCAAAGAGTTCTTAAAGTTAACAGAATAAATTGTGCCTAAAATTGCAATATATTACTTGTTACAATATAGAGAGGCGTCATCATTGAAATAATTCGCTATTAACATCCATTCCAGAATTTTCAAAATTTTTCAAATTGGGATATGAGTGATTTTTGGATTATCCGATATATGAAAAAACGAGTAAATTGAACAAAAGCTCAACGTTAAATTTACAAAGCATGATGCAAAAGCAAAAAAAAACTGAATAACGTAGAAAGAATCTATCATCGGAGATCTAATGACATCGAAAAGACGATCATTGGACGAAAAGCAGAGGAAAACCTGTACTTAATGAATACTGATTAAAGCACCAATTAATAACCATGTCTAATTCTTAATAAACTATAATAATATGAGTTATATTTTATAGTTCACTATGGTATAGTATCGGTGCTGCATCTTAGGAACACAGATTCATTACTTTAAGTATTAAGTTTCACTAAATAAATCTAAAGCCTCATTCCAAAACATATGCGTAGAGTAAAAACTGTAACATTTTGCTATTTTTCAAAACTCCTTTTAAATTTTGATCAATGACAAATACTTGAAACTTCAGTTCAACTCTTTGTGGTAAGAGGATTACGACGCTTTATACCCTGTTATACCATGGTACGCACACCATTTTTGCTCCAATATTAAACCCTTGTTGGCATACAGACCTTCGCATGTGTCTTTGTCGGGTCAACATTCGGGACTAGATGTTTGCTTTCCTTACAGTAAGGAATTTCTGAGGCAAAGAAAAGTCAATATTTTCTATGGAATGTCCACTGCAGTAATGGTACTTGGCACTCTATATACGGGAATGAACAGAAGAAAATTCCTTTCCTGTGGAGTTAGGTTTATTCCAGAAGGGGAAACTTGAAATAAATTTAGTTAAGGGATACTGAAAATTCTTTTGAAAAAGAGAAAAACAGGCAGATATTTAACATTATTTTCAATGTGATCTGGGTGCTTGTTTTCCATTCTAATGTGATTTCTCTATGAAAGTAAGAGAAAATTTATAACGTTTATTTTACATTTTACTGCATTGATTTTAAAGAACGTTATAAAACACTGCAAATATTTAAAATGAAGCAAAAAAGGCAATCTTATAAAGGCGCAAAAGTTTAATAAAACTATCAATTTCGAGAGCGGTCGGTCAAGGCTCATCTTCTTCAGAAGCAATTTTTTTCTGGCGAAGGTAGTAGGGGTGACAGTTTTGCATAAAATAAACCAGGCGAACAAATCCGATACGAATGTAGCTCCGTGAGATGAAGAAAATAAAAATGAAAACCGAAAAGGCTAAGATATTAGGATTTTGAAATTGTAGTAAGAACTGAATTGGAAAAAAATGTCGTTAACTACAGAAGGCAAATTTCTATGAATATGAAAGGTTTCAAGGAAATCTAATACATAAAGCTCTCAAATAAGTTTTGGCAGTACAAAGTCAATGTTGTGTTTTCATCATATAATCATTTCACAAGATACTTTATTCAATTTACAAATCACTTTATTTATACAAAATATATCCTCACTTCACATAAACGTGTACAACTCCACGACTAACTTTCATAGACTCCTTCCCAGTTTACAATCGCTTAATGATATAATTAGTTACCATAGTTGGGCAATTAATCAGAGTTTGCTTTCAATAATTACTGCTTTCAGAGGTAGATGGCACTATGTTCGATCTGACTTTGCTCCACCTGAGTAACACAGACTTCGAACAACTTCATGTTTTTCTTGAAAATTGATTATATAAAGGATTACAATGCTCAAGCTGGAATAATTTAAGCATCCGAGTATCTACCTTTTGGCTGGTGACTATTGAAAGAGTAGCTTGTTATTCGAGCTGCTTATTGCTTCGCTTTCGAAATATTTACTGTTAAGTACGGCAAACAGATCATCGATTATTATTTATCAACGTATTTAATGTAAGCATGAAAAACAACTATTTCCTCCAACAAAGGAAGGGGGCCATCATAATGAACTATTTACAAGCTGCAGATAAGTTATTCGACTGCCTTGCTTAGGTTTAATCTTTGAAGAAGTTATAGAAAAGAATTTTTGACACAAAGTACGATATTATTAAAATCAACCAGTTTGGCGCTCTGAAAACCTTAGCAACTCTATGCACCTAAATGAATTTTCCATCTAATTATACCAAACTTATCAGAAGGCCGGTTTGGGACCAGTTTCTTTTCAATATATTTGTAAACGACATACTAGATCCTTTAATAGCCAGAACAACAAAGTATTCTAAAGCAAAACAACAGCATAGCAAAGTTAGCTCGACATTAACAACTTTTTAGTTTAGCCTAAATTATCATCCCAAAGTAGTGAGAACTGTGAAGACAAAATTTTAAATAAATAAGATATTAGTGTTAGATATAATTTTGTCTGCCTATTAGCTCCACAAATACTTTGGAATTTATTTTTATCAAGATCTTAAATTTAAAGATGCTGATTATACTTCAAAGAAAGCGAATGTTGCTTTCATGGCTATGTGCCTCCTTCCTGTTCTTTCCTATAAAATTTCTTCAAAAACAAAGACTCTCAAATTATACAGAAGAAAGCTTTATGTTATTCAAGTTAATGCGCACTGTGGTTCCTAAGAAATGTGTATTTACACAATGAACTATTTGACATATTAAAGACTTCATTTCCATCACTGCATGTAGTTTCTTTTCACAGTTTCAAAACTCTATAGCAGTTCTTGCCAATTATGATCCTGAAATGCGTGTGTGTGTGTGTGTTGTGATAATGGCAAAGCCTCGAGGGCTATCTGCCTAAGGGGAGGGATGCCTTCGTGGAGGACTTTCTAAGGGAAACTGGCTCGTATACACGTTACACGTGGGGGAAACCACGAAAACGCCCATGCAGCCAGCCCGTTCGCGGGATTCGAACCTCGGTCCGAACTACCAGTGTTCAGCGACTTTCCTATGATCCTGAAATGAAACATCGTTATAAATGTCGCCATTTCACTCTATTTATTGAATATAGTATTTGTAGTTACTTTTTAAACTAGCTTTCTTTTTTTTCATTAAGCATTTTCTATTGTGTATTTTCTATTTTCACACCGCCTCCTCTTCATAGTGTTCATTTGTGTCTTTTTCATTATGTTCCTGCCTCCAATAACAATTTTACGCCAAGTTCTCTTTCTTTGGTGTTATACTTTTCATGAGCATTTTACATCCCATGGTGTTCCCATGGCTCAAAACATTCAATTTTTTATCACTTTACTCGAATACCTTTCGTTCTTTATTTATATGATGATGCATATATGCTTATTTTGTTATCAACATCAATGGCCTAAGAGCTCTTCCTAAAACTCTTAAATGATTGTTACGCCTGAAGAATAATCATGGTTTTGTTATATGGTACGATTCCATCTTTTCATACATGCATGAAAAGTACAAGGGCTCAATAAAATGTTTGGCAACGACATTTATTTATTTTTTAGGGTCACTAGACGTGACAAACTTGTATTGGATTTTGTGAAATTTATATAACGTCGTATATTTATATAATCTGAAGTTGGACTTATGCTCCAGTATGTAGTCATGGGCAGACAATGAGTAGTGACTATTGTATAAGCATCTTGAAAAGTATTTGACGGGAACCAAAAAAGATAAAATGACGGATTTGCTTCAAAAACGATGCTTTTTATTATTGCATAATACTTGGCTGCGCGTTGCTAATGCGGTATTGAAACCCTTGTCTACACAGCATCGTCCTTCAACGCTTTAATGAAGTCTATATTTAAGGCTTGACCTTAATTTTAAGGTAGCTTCAACATTCGAAATGCAGTTTTATGAGAATACGTTCTTTTCATATTACGAAGTGTCACGCCCGCGTTGCTAAAATGCACAGCACAATGCACTGCATCTGACATTAATTATCGCTTTGAATGGTGTAATTCGTTGTAAAGGACTGACATTTGAAGAAACCAAAATGTAGAGCTCGTAGATTCATTTTATTCCGAATGAGAAAATCAGTTCAAAACTTTTCAGTAGCCTACATACTTAAAATTTTCCCAAATTAAAGCCTCTTTATATACTCAAATGACATGAAATTTTGAGATTTATAATTCGTTATGCTTTGTTTCAATGAATGTAGAAAATTTAGCTACAAATCGTTCTCCATTAATATATAACACTCTATAATACTGCAAAGTATAGAGCTGAAATTTAAATTTCGAAAAAAGTAAAATTGAAAATTCAATTAAATATAGAAAATTTAGAAATTATTTACTCTTTGTCTCGAAATCCGAATTGGTAACCATTTAATTATTGTCCTAACCACACGTAGGTTTCTTGAATAGTAGATATTTTGAGTTATCAAAAGCACTTAATATTTCATCCTCATTGCAGTGCAATTTCTATTCATTTTTAGGTTGCGAAGGAAGGAACAGCAGAAAAGATTACAACGCCTTCTTCTAACGAAACTGCAGAAAGCCAAGAAACGAAAGTAAGTACTAGTAGTTGGTCTATAAGACTTTTGTGATTATTTACGCGCCGCAGTGAGCCTAAACGATCACTGTTAGTATTACAAATTTACGACTTACAGATATCACGCATATTTGAGAAAAAAGGATTGCTTAATCTCTCTACCGCCGTAGGGTTAATGTAAAGTCACTAAAGGGTGATGAATTAAAAAACCTGAATGGCGGTAACTTGACCCGTATTCGAACCCAGATGAATGGACTGACTTCATGCTTGATTTTCGTAGTTTTCTTCATGCATAACATAAATACGAAGCAGTTTCCCTTAGAATGCCCCTGGCATTGATTCTTGGTGTGAAGAAAGACTTCACAGACTAGCAAACCTAGAATAGGTTTAACAGAAGGAGAGAGAATTGGAGAATTGCTGAACAACGATGAGGACCTAGGATGGGGAAAAGTATAGATGATTACGAAGATGGTAAAACGTGTACGAGTTTAATTAAGATAGCAAAATTAAAGTATGTCCGATTTGTCACTTTTAATCATCGACTAGACAGCAGTTACATATGCATATCAGCCTGAATGTTCTGGTTGATGCTGTTATACTGTAGAGACATTAGGTTTTTTCGTAACAGGAGACGTAAAAAATGAGCAATGCCTTCGCCGTGACTCGAGCCTCGGACCTCTCGATATGTGCCGAGCGTGCTGACCATTACACCACGAAGGTATGCTAAGAAGGCGGGAGAAATACCTTATGATACAACTTCTGACAATTGAACCATATCCTATGATAACTCACTCTGTGTATGTGAGCAAGACTGTACCTCTGAAGGTGTTTTGTGGCAACGCACTCATTAGCTTTCAGAGTCACAACCCTATAGTCTCGATCATTTGTTTACCATATTCTTTAGGATGATGTATTTTTAAAAGAGTCAGATATAATGACAAAAGGCAGATCTAATTCACATGTTCTAATTTGTGCAAGCATGAAGCATTATACCCGTAATTCCAAAGTGGCTATTGTATAATTTCAAAAAGATTAATAATGAAACTAAATCATAAGTTTTGCTCAACTTGTGCTCTTTTGGAGATACAATTTTTTTAACTAATTATCTATTATGACATCCATCAGGTTAAAAAACATATTTATTCATTCTAAGGCGATCACCACCGTCGACTGTGAGCGGCCGTCTTATAGGAGATTATAATTTTTCTTCATATTTAATCCTCTTCGTTAAAATCCACCGGACGCTACTGTTGCCTATATAACTTCCGTGCATAGTATTTGTACTGTACTATATATATAAAATATTCCTATGTATAAAAAATATTCTTGGAAAAAATCTGATAACAAAATGCTGCTTGTCGCTCATTTTTTATATTAAATACTGTTGGCAATACAATGCATTACCCATACAGCACAATACATTAATCATATAAGGCAATACTTCATCCATATAATGCAATACTTCATCCATATAATGCAATACCTCAGTCATATCTTATAACTATGCACTTTATTAATTTTACTATTGCATTACAGTACCTTAACCTTTCATTGTGATATATTAAATATGCATTACACTTCTTTACAATATAGGCAGATAGCCCTCGAGGCTTTGCCATAATCACATAAATCAAATCTTTAAAATATAATACGTTGAGTATGGTACCTGTAACCATTATGCCGCTCGCGAATATATGTACTAACGAACTGTATCTATGGACTGTAGACTATACGAGATAATCGAAATCAAGAAAAAAGCCAAGAAGTTTATTCAAAATTTAAAAAAAAAAAAAAAAAAAAAGCTTATCTTTTAAAATTCAAAAGATCAAAATTTACAAAAGACTTTCTTAAAAACTCGAAGGAAAATAAGTGATTCATAACAAGTGTCAGTTTAGGCGTTAATTGCTTATTATTAAAATTCTGAAATTCTTTTTTACAATTTGGAAAACTTCTCGAAGAATTCAAATAGTTACTTAATTTTTTATCAGTCTGTTACTGTGATTAGAACTTGTAAAGATCTGTCTCAAAACGCTAACTACTTTTTGAATGATGACCCAGAATTCTAATACTCTCTTTCAAAAGAAATAAGTCGAAGTTTCTATTCGGAAAGGAGGAAAAAAATTGACTTGTTGTTATTCATGGCCGCGAGGCACTTTTCAGTGCTTTTACCCAAATCTCAGACTACCCTATCCGCTTTCGTTACTCATTTTTCAAAAAGAAAAAAAAATGTCTTTTCTGGAGAAAAAAATAGATGCACGCTAATTATGTTCATTGCACACTTTCTTCTATTCAGCTCAGTTTCTTAGCATTTTTTCGAGCTACATTTTTTAAGCGTTGCTCGCAGTTGCCATTAGAGGAAGAAAAATTCTTTTCATTCGAATACATTTTTCGAAATGCTCCAAAGACTTTGAATCTGTTGTCGGAGTTCTTCAAAAGATGTCCTTAAGCTATATTCCTTTCTAAAAAATACAGTTTTCAGGGAAAAGTAAATAGCAGAAAATAACTTAAAACTGAGAGATGGGAGAGCAGAGGAGTGTAAAGGGGTTTAAGTACAAGCGCATGCAATTATTTGCAAAATATCACTACATTCAATTACTCGTATCTTCATGTTTTAATGTATTTTTTCGCTTCTGTATTTCTTCCAAAGAAACGAATATCGAGATGTTGCCCGAGGAAATTATTTTTTTTTTCATCCTTCCCATGATAGAAAAATTATGTGTAAAATTATGTGTAACGAAATTTTAAAAAAAAATTAAAAGGATTTGAGAAGCTGAAATCCCCTTAAAGTAAACTGCAGAAGAAACTAAAGATGCTCGAAAGAATCTATCGTAAAAACAAATTTACCAGTTTTTAACTGGGTTTTTTACTTTCTGGTGTTAATATTCCATTAATTTTAAGTGTGTATTTTATACTTAAGTTACAATAATTACAATCCAATACTTTGTTTCTCCACAAATTTGCATTTGAATTATTGGAACAATAAAAGGTTTTTATTTAATTAAAAGTGACTTAAGTATTTGCATTTTTTTAATTCAAGGTTTGGAACCTTTTATTGGAACAATAAAAGGTTTTTATTAAATTAAAAGTGACTTAAGTATTTGCATTTTTTTAATTCGTGGTTTGGAGTTAGCTCGATTAACGAGATAATATTGCAGATGATATCGACGGTTAATTCAAAATCCCGTTAAATTTGAGGACAGTTAAAAAACAAAGAAAACAGGAATAAGTTAAATCATAATTAACAAAAGAATATATTATTTTGATATCCATGTTTTCAGTATTTTCAAGCAGTTTAATCTCAGAAATAAGCTCATTTGGTTTGGTAAACTAAATCAGGCTTCAAAACAAAAAGAACGGAAGAATAAAATCATTAGCAATTAAGAATTTAAGCTAAAAATAGCTGCAGTTGATGTTAAAGAAGCTAAGATGTTCATTTAATCATTATATTTATTTTTTATTTTATGTATTTTGTATTACTATTATTCGTATTCATTTTATTTATTTTTTACTGTTAGTAGTTTACTTCTAATAATACTCATAGGTTTAAAAGTTTAGGTCGTAGTGAAGCGGATACCCATTGTTTAGTTAACCAATGGTAATAATAATACTTATATAATTTGTATAATATACATTAGCAGGCTGTTTTGAATAAAACCACTCAGTACTATGACATAATCTGTTATCACAGCTGTTGGCCGAGCACTTTCTTTTTCCTTTTTCCAATATTTGTAAACAGTTTTGTTTTGCGCCGATTGTTTGAGGAATATCCCCACAGTTCTGAAGTGAATAAACTTAACCTTTAGGCAGAGTTCTGTTAATCCGCAATCCGGTTAAATAATGCAAAGAATAAAGTTATATAGCAAACTTTATTACACTTTTAAAGTCCCTTATCAATCACCCCGTTTTTTTTTTTTTTTTTTTTTTTTTTTTTTTTTGTTACAAATATTTTTGTATCTCTTTCAATGAATATCTACACTGGGGGGGGAAGAGGGGGATAGTTATATCTCCCGTTCTACTAGGTCGATTGACGAAATTTAAATTGAGCTTTTTTGTTTTAAGAGCACAATTTAAGATACATATTAGATTTATATATAGCATTGTTCTAATATAGGTATTTTGCCACAAAATCGAATTTTTTCTGAAATGACATGCCAATGTTTTCCATATTTTGATTCTACGACTCAAATTATGCCTAAATTTAATTAATTATGCCTAATTTAGTACGAAATTTACGGAGAAGTTCAAAAATTTATCTTGGAGCATATTTTTCAGTATGCGCCAAGAATAATTCACTTGTCGAACTTCTTAATTTATAGCAACCAATTTTCCTTTTCCTTTTTTTTTCATTGTACGCGAGTGGAAAAAATCATCGTTCATACTTTCAAATAATTTTAACAAAATGCGTAAACCACATTTGGCGTTATTATAGCCTATAAAATATATTCCAAATTTCAAATCGCGCCAATATGTAAATTCATGTATATCTTAGAAAATTTTGAATTAAAACTCTAATTTTTTTAAGGTGTGCCTTGAAATTCAACTGCGTTAAGATGATGTTAAAAATTTCATAGGTTTTAATACATACATTTTTTCAATAAATATATAAAAATATTTTAAAATACAAATTGTAAAAATAAATCATAAAAAATGTGTGAATTATATTTGGATTAAACTTAAACTTGAATTCTGGAAAAAGGAATCAAGTAAATTTAACAGAAAAAGAGATATTAATAAATATATATCAAATTTATTTAACACTGAAGAGCTGAATTTTAAGAGCTTATTTTTAAAACACTACTCGTGAGATTTTTACAAAAATTGTTCAGTCTGGCATAATCTGAGTCGTAGAATCAAAATATCGAAAAATATTGTCATGCCATGTCAGAAAAAGTCCGATTTTGTGTCAAAATACCTATATTAGAACAATGCTATATATAAACCTAATACATATCCTAAGCTTTCGAGACATGAAAAACGCAAGTTGAATTTCGTTAATCAGTCCAGTAGAACGGAAGATATAACTGTCCTTTTTTTTCGCACAGTACATTCTGTGCAATTAAAGTAACTGAAAAATGTTACCTCGTACCATAATAATTTCACCATTAGACCTGCAATTGCTTGGTTTTGTTTCTCTTTGCCGTTTTCCATATAGCATAGTTGCTTACGTAAATACTACTACGTGATTTGCTAAGTTTTGAATTATTTCTGTAGTTTCTGGACTATATTTATCTTTGTGACAACATCATTTTAATTCTTTTTGTGTGTTTCTGCAGGTAATTAAAAGAATTACCTCAAAATTGAATAAATTCTAACTATCAAATGGAAATATTCAAAATTTTCAATATTTAAGAATAATTCATAAGATTAAAAAGAACACTTGAATTTTTGAACAGTTAGAACTCGTTATTATGGAGGCTATTCCCTACAATTACCGACGGAATAAAAATGGCATACTAATGAGGATGAATAAAACGAAATTTCATTACAGCAACCACTCTTTATAACTCTCATTTCTTCAAGACGCCAGAAGACGTTATAACGAGCGCCAACTGTAGTGCAGTTAAAATCTTATCTTCCATTAATCAAAATACTTCAGGAATACTGGAGCAATATGGTAGCTCTTCACAGTGAAATGATTTCAGTATCTATAACATACTCCTTCCAAGATATTGTGCTGATAAAAGTCTGCTACATCGCGAAAAGAATTAATTACCAAATAAATATCGGGATATGGTTAGGATAATGAATGTTGCAAGTATGATAAGTATTTTAAATTGTGCTCGTGGAAGAGGGCTGGCTTTAGCTCGCTTTGCTAGTAATATCTCTTTGCACCAAATCTCTTTAAAGTTGGTTTAATTGCACCACCACAGTTTGTCTTACTTGAAGGTAGTCATGGCCTTAGGAGTCAAACATGCCATGTGCCACACACCTTAATGTATTACAAGGTAATTCAGGCTAAGGTTAGGGATTAAAAGATTGCATAAATAAGTACTACAAATTGATATGATGCAACTAAGTCCATGCGTTAGTCGAAATAATTATTTCAGATCAAAATAGTATAAGTGCTACAGTATGAAAATAAATGTTAGAAAATGCATGGTTGTACATTTCAGTAATACCGAATTATTAAATATGTCAAATTATCAGGCTTATTAAGGTAAAACATGAAAGACAATTTCATAAATGTACGAGTAATTTGATGTATTGTAAGAATGTAAATCATTAAAAAAAACACTACATAGAGTAATTCTACAAAGATGTTTCATGATTGAAAATATACTGGAAGATAAACTAAAAAATGTGCATAATTTATTTGCTTGAACAATATACAGTTTTGAATCTACAATGTTGCTACTGTATAAACACTCTTCAGGGTTCAAATGTTCCTTTTCTTATCAAAACATTACTGAAGAGAATATGAAAATTAATTCTTATTTCTTTGAGGTTATTGTGTTCTGTCAATTCCGAAAATCTATTACTTACTTTGGCAGCTTTCCCCCAAGTAATATTACACTCATATCCGTAAATTAAGGATAATGACAGATCCGGCAGATAAAGGTTCAGAAACAAAACAAACGTGACTTATTCATAAATCCTATTTATTAAACAAAAGGTAAAGAACAAAAAAGATGGTGTATGTATAATACATTAAAAAAAACTACGATTTTTGTTCCTGGAAGTAATTACAAAAAATTGTCCCTTAAAAAACGTAACATTACCCAGTTGGTATGAAGGTTAATACATTGTATGTGTCCCAAACGATGAAATACAGTCCATATAACACCTAATCATGCTACGTATCAAATTATCGAACTAATCTTGGGGAAGATTATTCCAATCAGTAAGTAATGCTCTCCGAAGTTCCGGTTCACATGTAGGAGGTGCTTGACGGGTTCATCGACTAGGCATGTACCACATGCTCTATCGGATTCAAATCAGTTGAGAATGCTGGCCGTTCTATATGGGTGACATAATCAGATTGAAGGCATTCCTTTACAATGTTTGCACAGTGAGGATGGGCATTGTCATCCATAAACACACATTCTGCGCCCATAGCACACCTAAATAAACGTACATGCTGTTCCTGATTGATGTCCCGATAAATTTGGCCTGTCATGGTTCCTATCTGTACACGCAAATCTGTTCTGGAGGACTAGCAAATTTCCACCCCAAACAAGCAATCTTGCACCACCGTAACGGTGTCGTTAAATGATGTTATCTTGATGGTAGCGGGTACCTGAAGTTCTCCATATAAAAGTCGGATGTGAATCAGACTGCAAGCTAAATATAGACTCATCGCAAAACATCACACAAGCCCATTGCATGTTCACTACACCAGGCTAACCGCTGGCGACAGTGAGTTGCCGTTAGCGGAACACATCTGACAAGCCTGCAAGCATGTAGACCAATCTGTCCCAAAAACCTGTACACGATTTGCCTTGAAAGTGTCAAACCCGTGGCTGAAAACAGCTGACGAGTCAGCTTATTTAGCCAGTTACTGCCAAATACCGGTCGTCATTCGGCGTTGTAACTCGAAGGCGACCTGTACTGTAACATATACTGACATTTCCATCATTTTGGAATCATTGCCAAAGCCTAGAAGTGAGAGTTGGGCTATTCTAAATTCCTTGGATCCTTCCAACTGAGTACGCCCACATTTCAGGCGGCCGATAATTCTGCTACGTAAAAAATCCTCCACATGCGTTCTCTGTGTCATAACTATTCAGTTGTGGCACTGAGCGGCTTACAGAACGCTTGTGAACAATTTCACTTCTTTGCTACCATTTCTTATACATACTTCTCTTACACTTTCGTCATTGTGACGTACTATTGACGTAATTTGATGGCTTCCTGTAATTTGCATATTATTCTTGAAGATGTTTGCGATAATACTACAGGTGAAATGTTTACTTTAGAGTTCGATTCCTGTGTGGTTCTGAATTATCCTTAATTTATGGACATGAATGTAAATAAACCTTCTTCTTGATACATTCATTTTCTTTTGATGCCAGCAGCATTTTTCAAGACTAGCTGATCTTTGCCTTCCTCAATCAAATCAAGAATTTTATCTTCAGAAAATGCAACTACAGATTTGTGCAAAGAAGCACTTTGATTGAGTTCAACAGTTCAGAGTAGGACTAATAATATTTTTACAGCCTTCAAAGAATTTTTATGCATAATATTCCCCAATAACAGTGTTGACATGAAGGAAACACAACTATTCAGATTACTTTTAAATAACACATTTATAGAGTTGTATGACAGACCTCATATCGGATATATGCGAACTGGATTTCGCCTCTTCCGAATCATTGGAAACCGGATTATGGGATATTTTTCTGTAGTATTTATGATCATAAGGTATAAACAGATGTTGAAATATGGTGCAACTACTCCAAATATGAAAACAATAAGATTTTCGAGTAATTATTTTGTTCTTTTGTCCATGAGTGTGTGCTGAAGGATTTAGATTAGCAATATATGAGAACAATACATAGTTCATCCTTTGTAAATTGTAAGTGATGCAGAAGCTTTCTCCTGCTATGTTGACACACGGTGGAACATAAAAGTGTCCTTAAATGGGAGGCATCTTCAGGCGATTTACGATAATTGACGTACTTGATCCATTGTGTTGTTATTTCTTGTTTAACCCTTTAAATTTTAATCTAATACGTAATAACTAATGTATAATATTTCTATAATATTTTAAGAAAAACGCATATATATATTATTAAACAATCTTAATGCATTTATTTAATATTTCAGATTATAAATCGAATAGATAATGCTAACATACCAACAGAAGATAAAGAGGACAATGGAAACTTGAGGTCATTAAAATCTCAACAAACTGTACAGCCAAGCACTTGTCAGCAGCCCCAAGTATGCTCTTGCCAACGTTTGCTCTTGTGCCCAGGAAGTCTTCTGCCTTCTTTCAGTCAAACCATCCCTGCAGACAGTTCTCGAAGATCAGCTGGAAGAAATAGCTCAGAATATGGATCCGTTACTCCCAAAAGCGGAAGTGCATCTTCAGCTGAAAACGAAAACACAAAACGAAGGGCAGGAGGTGATCACAATCTCAACTGTCGCTGCAGGCAGCCTCCTGTTGCATGTCCAGTTGCGGCACCGGATTGTTGTTGTGGCCGAATAACAATCGGCATGCCATTTCTCAATACATTCAGCGCAAGGATGGGGAGGAAGGACAATGCCAATCATATTTATGTAAACTTAAAATATCTTCAAGAAACTGCAGCTGCAGCAATGACCAGTCAAGGTGTACCAGGGAAGCTTATACCTTATTATGCTAATCTTCATTTCCTACAAACTCTATCTCTTTATGAGAATGCTGACATTCTAGATGTTAGACCGTCACATTTTGTCCCCAATATGTTTCCAGATGGAACCATTCCAGAAGGTACAGAAATCCCTGCAGAAGATGTTCTGAAGAAAGACGATGCTCCGAAGAAACCGAAGAAAAAAATCGACACTCCTTCAAATAATGGAGTATATGAGATGATGTCTTTTAATCAAAGTGAGATACCATCAACATCAGGGGATAATTATTTGCTCATGCAGCCTGCAGGTACTGAAAACAGAGGAGAATTAGTAGCTGTAGATGTTCCTGGCCAAACAGCTACTACATCGCAGAGTAGTAGTTATCAAGCATCTCCACCAACTGCTGCTGCGGCTGTGGCTGCTGCAATTCCATGCGATCCAGCACCAGAAGGAGAAAGTTCATCAGCTTCGGAAACAATTTTGCCTCTCAGACCTTTTATGCCAGTACTCCTACCGTTCCATGAACATTCATGCGACGTAAAAGACCACGCAGAATGCGATGAAACCTGTAAATTAAATTGTGGTGTAAGAAAATGTGGTGGAGAATATCACTGCCGCTCTTCAAGATCTAATTCCCTCGGTGACCTAAAAATGTCTGTGTTTCGAAGAGGAAGATCCAGTTCTACTGATGGCAGACACGAATGCTCAACTTCTGAAGATTCAGGAGGCTGTCAGTATGCTGGATGTGGTACAGCAAGTCCAAAGTCAACCCCTGTTAGAAAACATCCTATTCTTACTAAACTTACTTTGAGATCAAAAGAGAAATCTTTCAGTACGGACGAGATTACACCACCGTCATCAGCACCCTCTTCTCCAGATAGTCTGTTCCTAGAAAGTATTCAAAAATACCCTTTCCATCGGTCAGCTGATTGTCTGCAACTAAATGAAGAATACCGATTATCAGAAGAAGATTTGTCTCAAGACCCTGAAATCATTATGAGCCAGAGTATGGAAAAAAGCAGTAGTCGAACAACCTCAAGTATTAAAAGATCATCAAGTGTACCTTGCAAAACAAATCCTAATAGCCAGCAGCAGCAACACAATTCAGCAAGTTCTACTGATTCGGGTATATCGACACATTTGCCAGGAAATTTAAGTAGTCAAGGTGCTGTATTCTCCCATTTTATCGCATATCATGGTTCGCTACCTCGACGCCACACAGGCAATGCAGCAAGTAGGCACCCTGTACCAGAGCGGAAATTTTCCACTGCAAGTGCTAAGAACCAAGCACCCCAGACAGAACAGAAATCATCAGATCAATCTAAAATGATTTTTATTTCTGGTAAATCAGTATTTCTTATTATTACATTAATGCAAATGCAAAATTCATGTATTATTAATTTCCAGCTCATGTCTTTCCCTGTTAATGTCTCAAAAACGTTTTTGCCAATGAAAAAGGAACAAAAATTGTAGTTAAATGCAAGTATATTAATCGAAGTTTATTTCCCAGTAATTCTAATAATTAATTATCGAAATATTTAAAGGTATTACGTAGTAACTGCATATAACTTATTGCATATATGTAACTAAAAGGTCCAATGAATGTACACAAATTAAAATAATAAAAAATAGAACTCTGATTTGTATTAGGGCTATATGAACATTTTGAAATTTCAAGAAATTATCATCAGTGAAATAAGTTATATGAGTAGTTTAATGAATGACCAAAAATTACATTTAATTATATTATATATTTATAAGTATTATAATAAATTGCATTACATTATAATAAATATACATAAACCATATGTACATTACATGTAACAGAAATAATCTGTAATTATGTATATTAGTATCTCTAGGTAGTTTAATTTAGCTAACTATTGAAAAGTATTATAATTTTCAACTGCGACTATATATTTTACAATTACACGAACATTTAACAATTTTAAGCTAAAATATTTGAACCTTTTAAACATTACTTAAGTATGTAATTAGATGAAGACTTTTAATTAACGTTGTCAGTATTCTGAGCAATTTCAATGTAAATTCTATTATGTTTGTATTATAGGGAGCATACCTCAGTCCACCTAGCCGGCATAAACCGGCCATATGACTAAAAGAAGGACCGGTCTATTAAGATTGGTGCTTTTACCTAACAAACACTGTTCATTCATTTTCTTAAAATACATGTGAATGTTAGAAGATTTTCTTTAAAATAAGCATAAATGCTAATAAGTTAAGATCATTTCAATTTAATTTGTGAAACATGCCATAATTTTCAGTTATGGCTGAGCTCATTATTTTACCAACAACGATAATTTAAATTTTATTACAATAAAATTTAACAATATGAAACTAAAGTATTTGAATGTTAGCAATTTTGCTCGAGTACGTAATTACAAAAACTATTTTAATTAAAGTGTTTCGATAGCAATTATGTTCAAATGACCTGCTTTTATCAGAAAAAAAAATCATTCATTTCTTGACACATAAATAAATACTTTTATCTAAGCTTATGAAAATGTAATATCCTTTTAGTTGAATAACCTAATGTCCTTATGGTAACAAAATATCTTTTTTACGTTTTATGCAGAACACTTTTTTTGTTTTTTAAGCATTTCATTTCGACTGGCACAAAATGACACCTCTGAAACACGAATGTGTTTTATGTGATCATTCTACAGCAAGCACTACTATTCCAGTCATATCTTGTTTACATTAAATAATAATATATGGCTTTTTAAACGCCTTAAAGGAAGGATATTGTTTTCAGTTAACATGTAAAATTCCTTCCTGTCAAAGTAAAATCCATAAACACGATTCATTCATTGGAAACTGATGGACGAAGAACGGAAGGAATTTGAAAGCAACATTTAATATTTATGCGCCTTGGCAAATGAAGTGTTTCCACTGTTCGACACATAAGACTTGCACTTTATTTTTCATATGTCCTCTTGCATGGCTGAAACTAAGACTTTTGTCATGCGGTGAAGCATAGGATGTATTAGATTCGTAATATATATGTATTATGAATATATTAAAAGCAACTGATATTAAAATAAAATCTTTCTTTTCAGAATGCAAGCAATGTCACCAATTCGTGACGTCACCAGAGGGAGTCTTAGTGCTGGATGCCAAAAGTATGACTTCCAGTTCTTCCTCTGACATGTCAGATTATATAGAATCACTGTCACTATGCTCTCGCAGCAGCAGTGGAAGTGGAAGTAGTGCTTGTGGTGGTGTCGGAACAAACGAATACATACGGACAGATGATCTGTGCAGCGCCCTGATGAAAATTCCCACATCTTGTACCAGTTCGCTGAGACCAAGGTCAGGAAAAGAGTATCATACATTTGATAGAGTTCTCATTCAAGATGGTTGTCCATATATCCCTATAACAGATTGCTCACATTTGAATCTTTCTTGCTTGAAGCCTTTTGCGGATGACTCACGACAAGACCAAACCGAGGACCCTGTTAATGCTAATTTAAGCAACGCACCGGAATCTAACACAACTACCGCAAACAATAATATCATCAACAACAATAACTCTAACAAAATGAACTCGCCTTCATCTGGGTACGTTAGTTCTTCCCCAGGGAATGTCGAATTCCTCTCCTCTCCAGAGAAGACTACTCAATTTACTTTCCCCAAAGAAACTACCAAAGAACTTAACTATTTAGAGGTTGTATCAGTTGGTGAAGCTGAACCAACAAGTCCTATTGTAAAACAAGGTGCTGTCCAGTACGCTGTTATTGACATGGTGGCCACTACAGCTGCTAGAAAACTTAGCACCGAAAGGGCACAGTTGCGAAACGAGGGGAAGAGTCCGACCCCAACAGAATGTAGCTCTCATGGTTCTTGGGTATGCGGGGAATGTAGTCCTAAACATACGAATCTTGAAGATTCGAGTGCGGGCGACAAAAAGTGAACTACAGATACAATGAAATGCTTTGTCTTTCCTTCAGGTGATTCATTACTATTAATACATGAAGTTCAGCCACAGAAGAGGTTAAATTGTAGAAGAAAGAGTTTCGGGTGAATTACTCTTCTTTGTGTGTGCATGTCATATCCTGATACTGTGTTGGATAGAAGAGATTTAGAGATTCTCAAATTTAGAGTAAAATTGAATATTTTTATATTCCCCTCTCGTTCCTGGCACCCCCTATTCAGGAATAAGAGATGACAACAAGGAATTCAAAAGTGGGCCTTGATTAAGTTCCAACAACCGAACGAACCGAGCTCTGAAGCAGTATTTGGATTCCTGTTTCAAGATACGTTATTATGGAGAGAACATGTTCTCCCAAGCAATAAATAAGCAATGGCTGTACTGTGGACTAAGCTTTCTGTGCAAAACATTGCAGTAGCCCTCAGATTAATGCTCACAACAGACTAGTACTCTTCACACATTCAAAGAAAAGTTCTATAGTGTGACAACCAGTTCACTAATATGTTCTGACAAATACGATGGTGCCTATTTATATAATTCTTTTTAATTCAACTTAACCTATCAAAGACTTTTAAAGAACATGCACACTCTTGTTTTGTTTTAAGCTTCAAAAAACTAAAATGTGAACTTGTATCATTTTATAAGATTTGAAACTTCATTCTTTTAAAATTTAATGATTTCTGTATACTTAATCTCGAAAAGAATGACATGAATACAAAAGTATGGTTTCATAATATTAGTTTTCTTTTATAAAACTTCTTTACAAACTGTTTTTCGAAATATTAGAAAACAAAATTTTGGAACTAATATTTTAAAATGTTTGGCTTGCAGTTTCCGTTGTTACTATATTACTGCTCATATTGTAATACTGCATGCTAATATATCAGTACTTACTGGCGTATAGGATATGAGCAATTAAATTGGAATTTTTAGAATCTGTTCAAGTACTAACATGTGTTTCTTCAAAATAGTAGCTATCGATAACTATTACGTCTGTAAAAATCTTTGTTTTCGTTATTCTCAAAGTGTTTCATTTTGTGATAGAAGTTCATATGGATACGAACGAAAACGTAATACTTTTCTCTAGTAATCGTTTAGACGATAAGAATCTGGCAACAGTGATGTAATTGTTAAAGTTAATATTGAAGTATGGCGATTTTTAATTCTGAAAACGCCTTTTTGAACCTTACCAAACTATGTGTTAGTTGAGCGCTTTGAATTTTTAGCGCGAATTTTTTAGGTATGTATTTTATCATAAGGGGGACCACTTTGTCCTATATTAGAGTTTTAAATAGTTAATGTGAGCAAATGAGCAGTGAGCATAAGATTTCCACTGAAAACAGATTTATTGAGTTATACATTCAGATATAAGAGGCACATAATTAATTAAAATTTTCAGTATAACTAATTTTATTAGATGTTATTTCCTTGAATTATTTTTTGTGAAATTCTAATTTTCTGTACTTTTTTATAAGTTTCATCTACAGTAAAATCTACAGTAAAAATTGTTTAACAGACAGTAATAACATTTAACATGGTTTTAACATTATTTTGAATTGTTAAAAATGAACGTTTTAATAGCTTCGTGGTGACATATATTCAACAGTAAGAAAAGGTGAAACAGAGGTCAACTAAATTTAACGGGGTTTTTGCTTTATTTTAAAATGTTAAAATTAATTTTTTTGATAATTTTAGGTGATTGATAATCTGCAGTAAAAATAGTGTAATAGAAGAAAATCAAATTTAGATTTATTTTATTTTAAAATGTTAAAATAAATGCTTTTGTTGTTATATGATTGGCAAGTATAAATGGTATGACAGAATTGAAGTAAAAATGTATAACAGGAAGTATCAAAATTTAACATAAGTCTGCTTCATTTTAAAATATTAAAACGAAAATTTTAATATTTATATAATAGCATTTAATCTGCAGCAAAAATGAAGTAAAAGGCATCAAAATTTAAAGTGGATTTTACTAAAATTGAAAATATTAAAATAAACGTTTTAGCAGTTGTATTTTTATCTACAGTAAAATTTTTACTTGCAAATAATGTATGCTAAACACGGTATAACTGAAAGCAACACAATTTAACGTAATTTTAACTTTGTTTCAAAATTTTAAAATGAAAGTTTTGATAATTGCATGAAACATGTATAAAATCGTAGCTTTTAATACATAAGTTTCTGAATGTAATTAAAAAAATTACGGCGTGAAGAGAAAATGTAAAAAGATAGAGTCTAAAATCATAAAATAACATTAAATTCATGTTCATTGTATTACGAAATCGTTTGCTCAACCCAATACTTAAAAAACGAGTTTTGAAATATAATTAGTCATTAATAATTTATAAACTTGTGAATATTTTGTTAAAGTAATATTATGAAAATTTAAGGATTTATAAAGGTAAATTTAAGGTATTTAACATCAAATGATTATTATTTCCAGTGAGGTATGTTTTGAACCTTGTTAATAGTAAAAATGATTTCAAGCTAAAAATAGAGTTTTCTAAAAGAGAATGTTAAACAGTGCACAGTGGAAGTGAGAAATGCAACTCAAATCATTTTTAATGATGCAACGTTTTGTAGAAATATAAGAAATATTTCAACAATCATGCTCATTTACTGAATAAAAAAAGATTTTTGTATAAAACGTTTTAAATTCTACGTTTTAAAAGAATTCTAATACAAAACAAACATCTTCTATATTAAAAATTTAACTACTATTTTTTGGATTGTCAAAAGGATTTTAACTAAAATCACTCCTATCTTTTATAATAAAAAGAGTAAATTGATTATATGTTATTTTTTAATTTTGCTGAATCTTCAGTGATTTCCGATTTTTTTTTTTTTTTTTTTTTTTTTTTTTTTTGTACTCTGAGAACGCATTCTGAAGAATATTTATCCTTTTTCTACCGTTTATTAAAGTGATTGCTTATATAACATGCGGCGAAAGAAATATAAAAATAAGAAATTTTAAGTTTTTAGGAATATTACCTCAATTTATTATCGTTTTTTATTTAAAATATGTAGTAAATATGTTACGTATTTTTTAAGAAATGACTCAAAATTTAAGTTTCAGTAGTTAAATATGTGTCGTATCTAAGATAACAGAAAAGTGAAAAGGGCCTGGTATGCTTTTGTGTTAAATGTGGTAACACCAAAAGAGACCAGGCCGTTTTCACTTCTCTGTGCAGGTAAATATTATCCATAATATATTCGTATTTAAAATATGTTATGAAAATTTTAAGAAATGGCTCAAAATTTAATTTTCAGTAGTTAAATAAGAATTACAAGCATTACTATAAGATAAAAATGATTACAAATTAAGGACAACTGTAAAATTATTCATTAACATTGAAATAAATAATGAGATTATTGCAAATTATAAGAATATTGTGATAATGAATTAATGTTTTAAGAAACACTAATTCCAAATGAAATCCCTATTTCTGAGAATGCTTTCATCAGAGAATTTGAAAAAGAATTTTGAAATCGCCAATCCTGAAAATATATCAGTATCATTTTTGATATTTCTAAACACATTTATTTTGGTATCTTCACAAGTTTTGCTTGACAGATCATTTGACTGTGGGATATTTGTGGATGTGTGGGATACTTTAAAATCTATATTTTTCAGAATCACTGTTTAAAATCTATTGTATAATATTTATTCTTTGAATATAGCAGATTATTACAAGATTATAAAAATACTTTTCAAGTTTAATCTAAAAATGAAAATGGTTTCTTATAACATATATCCCCTTAAAATTATCAGTTTTGGAGAAAAGTAAACTATTTAATTTTTTTAATTATTAAATAAATTAACATGAATTCCCAAATTTAGGAAATAAAGCTACTTTGAAGGCATTTTGAAACTTTAACACTATTTGCTCAAAAGGTTAGATGAAGACCATACGTATTCGCATATCTGTAATTTAAAAAATCACAGAATCAAGCTTCGGTTTATACTCCTGTTTAAAAATATGACACTTAAGCCTTTTGCATAATTTTAATTATAAGTGGATAAATTATATAGGTAAGAGTTATTTTATTATAGCAGCAATGTAATTTCGTAAAAGCAAAATGGATTTAAATTGGATTTATATTTATTATTATTTATATTTATTTATTTGTATAATATATTTGGTATATTTACCATATATATTTATTTGGTATATTTACAATAAAAAGATACTTTATTCGAAATTTGGCTATAATTTCGAATTAATATTAACAGTGAAATAACAGTGAAATTTCATTCTCGCTGTTTACTTTCAGACTTGCCCCACAATGTAAAATTCCGCACATCATGCAGCAAAATGGAATCTCAACTTATAAGCTGGAGCCTTTGTACTCGAGTATATACGTTATTTAAAGCCATTAAAAATAAAGTATCCACTTCTATGCAAACCTGTTATTCTTTGCTTGTGATTAATGACTTGAAAATAGCTGTAAAGTACCAAAACTACTATGAAACTGTAACTCATTCTAAATTAAATTATTAAGCTAATACTCAGCCGCTATGTTTTTTTATACTATCAGTTCCGTTCCATTTTAAATTTTGGCTTTAATGATGAGATTTGATTACCATCACTGTAAATTCCCTCACTGTATGTAAATGTCACAGGGAAAAAATCACTAAATAATTTTATGTTTTTAATAAAAAAATTTACAAATTGCCAGTTTATTAAAGACAGTCAATTTTTTACAGAATGTTGTATTATAAGTGATATAAAAATTTGGCATTTTTGTATTTTTTAATCTTGTAAGAAAAGAAATAAGCATTTTATTAACGCAGTGTGCCGTAATAAAAGAATGATATATGCACATTTCGAAGCTTCTTTTCGAACAGCAACAACGATGGAACTAACTATGCAGGCCTCAAGCGCAGTTTGTGTTTTCGAACATATCACTATTGTAACAGGACATTTTTTGTTGTAATCACTTGTACATTAATGATGTACATAATACAGTTGTTACATTTTTGTACCTAGTGTGTTTTTACGTGTTTTGAATTGTTGGAAGAACTAATTATTCACATTTCCAAATATGACTGGATTTGAAATGCTGGTGCTTGTTAGCATTTCGTGACTTACATTGCGCAGCATACACAGCCATATTTCTGTGCACTTTTAAATTCACTTAAATAAACGTACAGCTAGTTTTCCGCTAATTATTATTCAACTTATTTGTCCTTTATGCTATTAACAACCTTTTCTGAACTATCTGTAATTGCATTCCAGTTACAGATAAAGAACAGTCCATCTTTAATTATAAATAATATTGCACTTAGGTAAATTAATTTCAGGCTATAATTATGACATTTCATCATATAAGATTCAATCATATAAGATCAATTTACTAGGTCATTCAACATTATAGATATACTACTTACGTCTTACTTAATTTTGTAATTATTGATAAATAAATTATCATTCAAAATGAAAGTTAATTCTTTTAAAACAAATTATGTAATTCTTTTGCATTCAAACAGAATCATTGCGAAGATTTAAAATATGCTTCTTAATTTCAATACTAGCTTTCCATTTCACATGAATTAATACAAAAACTGTAAATTTGCAATATTATTTTAAAATTTTCCTCTCCATCCTTTCCATTCGCGTATTTGTTTTTATTTCGTTATAAATTATAATATATTTATAGCAATATCTAAATTATTCAAACTCCAAATATATACATAAATATCATATACCTTCGAAAATAAGACATACCTTTTTTTCCATGTAAGTACCGTTAATAATGATACGATCTTTATAATCAATGGTATCTCAAAATCGCATATTTTTTCCAAATTACTAATCCCTTTGAAGTAACAATTGTTTACAAATTACTAATTTAAACAGGAATATTAATTTCTAAATAAATCTAAGGTTATTTATTACAAATTAATAGTCCCATTGTTAATGAATCAATCAAATCTGATTCTTAAATAACATCTTTATTTCGTTTGTTTTCTTTTCCTAAAATTAAAATCTTTTTTGTTTTCTGTTGTGGTACTGAAATTATAGAGTGTGTCTTAACGTCGAAGGCCTCATAGAATACAAAAATAATTATTAAGATGTATATATATTGATATTTCTAAACTCTTGTTTACACACACACACACACATATATATATATACATATATATATATATATATATATATATATATATATAAACTCTTGCTTATAATATACAAATATATATATATATACAAAAAAAATAATTTTAAGAGAAAAGAAAATAAATGAGATATAAATGCTCTTTACTTGTATTTAAGTACTAGATTTGATCGATTTATTAACAATAGGAATATTAATTTTTAATAAATAATCTTAGATTTATCCATACAATGTATATATACATATGTATATATATACAATGTATATATATATATATATATATATATATATATATATATATATAATATATATATATATATATATATATATATATATATATTATATATAATATATATATATATATATATATACAATGTGTATATATATATATATACAATATATATCTATATATATATATATATATATAGTAATATACATATGATATATATATATATGATGTACCAGCTTTAGTCGTAGCTTAAATTATCAGACGATAAGTTTTAAAAAAACAGGATCCATTTATTATTATTCAGGAGAAATAGCAGTTAAAAAATCAGATATCTGGAGTAAATAAAAAGAATTACTAATAACTTTTTGTATGAAGTTTACTGCATCGTGACATTTAAGAAAAAGCCCCCGATATTCCTTTCCGAGTCCTTTTATAGCCTCTGGAAAGGCGGAGCTTCCAAGAAATGACGTCAACCTCATCAGCCAATCCAGTTCGCTTTAAATATTTCCAGAACATTCTAAAACTGTACGTGTAGAAAAGGCGGGAAAAACAACTTGACTACGGGGCTGTGGATTTAATACCACGTACTTTCAAATAAGAGAACGTCGCCATTAAAAATGAAAAGAACATACAGTTAGAATTATAAGTGTATTCTTGACTATTGAATTTTATTATTACATATATATATCACATGTATATTACTTAATTTTATTATATTCATTAATGAAGGAAGCCTAAATGACAAAATAGAAACAAAAAAGCGATGAAAAATATATTGAAGATTGACGAGATGTAACAAAAAATGTGGAATGATTATGATGTGAAGTTTTAAGAGCAGAGCAACAACTATGTCATAAGCTGCAGCTTTTCTGAATGAATTTCTGGATAAATTTCAATCAATTTGGAAAGAATAAATTTTTTGCATAACCTGTAAGGTAATAACTTTCATGATCAATACAAACATTCATAACCAGAACCGTATCTGCCTCTAAGCAGTAATTCAAACAAATCTATCGTGGCTGAAGCAGAGGTTAAAAAAATTGATTCAAATTTCGCAAGATAAAGAACATAGAAATTAAAAGACAAATATAAAGGGAGCAACGTGAAAGCGTAAATATTACAGTGCACATTTTCCCGTTTTAAAGCAAGTTATTATTCATTGCATGCCTATTCAAGTACAATTTTATTTACGTTTTGAAGTATGGATATACTATGCTGTGCAATGTGTTCAACATTCCTTCTTATGATCTGTGTCATTTCTTTTAGTATTTAAAAGTTAACTTCACATGAAGGTTTTGTCTGATTATCAAGTGTGTATTTGTGTGAGTTTTTGGGTAAGTGTTTAGTTTTATCAAGTCAAAAGTTATGAGAAGAAGTGAGACTGACGAGTTT